CCACCACATTAAGATGGAAAGACCGAGGCCTTGAGCATAGAGACTTGCTCCCGACATCACATGGCCAGTCTGTCCAGGGCAGAGCTGTGAGCCCAAAACTCTTTCCAGCAACCCCCAGGCTGTATCCTTGGTTCCTGGAAAATCCCGACACCCCTCCCACCCTGCGCTCCAGACACTAGGCTCAGGGTTAGTGTTGGCCGGGGGCCCTGCCTGTCCCAGCCCAAGTCCACGAGTGAGCTCTGTGTGTAGGAGGGGTGGGCGTGGGAGGGCACCTCAGGTTCTGCTGAGCACCCCCCACCCCTGCAAGCTGGCTCTGCTCTCTGGGAGTTTTCTCAAGGTCCCCATGATGTCCAGGTGCCCCAAGACTGACCAGAGTAGGTGGCCAGGTGGCCACTGGGTCCCCAGCGCAGGAAGGACAGGACGACAGAACTCCACGGGAGCTGGGGAACTGAGAGGGCCCAGGCCTCGCCCCTTCCTGCCTAGGTGGGTAGAAGCGGGGTCCCTCCCTCCTCCAGACTGCTGTGCCAGAGAAACCTGGGAGCAGGCTTCCTCCCACCCCCAGCCCAGCTAATGGGAACCAGATGGCAGGATGTTTAGTCAGCGCCTGGGGAGCGGCACGAACAGGGGAAATGGGTTGGGGGCCAGGATTCCAGAATCTATCCCCAGGCAGGGGGAGGGTCAAAGCAAGGGCTCCTGCCACAGTCCCAGTCCGACTCCAGGGGCCCACTTTGGGAAGGGTCCTACCCCTCCGCAGGCAATGCCTGGACCGGGAGACAGGAGGCCCGGCCTCCGGCATCTGACCTACCCCCCTCTTGGTTCCTTCTCTGTACCGGGGAGGCTGGGAGCGCTCAGACTTCCAGGATCCCCGCCACACCTTCAGCCTCCATTGCCTGAGTGCTCCCGCCCCCCAGAGCCTTAGCAGACCACCAGCTCAGGACATCCTGTGTCCCCCAGGGCCACACAGGCACACTGATGGCTTCATCTCTGGCTCCCAACGTAGTTGCTCATGCTCAGTCCACAGACAGTCTCTGTCTCTAGTCTGTGTGTGGCACAGTCCCAGATTCAGGCCATAAACCAGAGCCCTGGATGGGAGAAGGGAGAGGGTGCCAGCGGCCCCCGTGTGCTTCATATGGGACTGTGAGCTGGCACGGGGGCTCCTTGAGGGCAAAGGTGCAAGCGTGTGAATGCTGAGGAGCCCGGTGAAGACCCTCTTGCTGGAGACTTCCGCCCTGACCCACCCCCACTCCCTCCTGCATCTCACACCACCCCCCCGCCCCGTGGCCCTGGACAGAGACCTTGAACCCCAGATGGTGGTGGGAAGCTCCTTCCAGATGGCCCTTCTTGGCCCTGCTCCCCCCTCCCTGCACCCTCCCCCAGTTTCCCCCTCTCCCCTCCACCCGAGCCTTGCCCACAATTAACTCATTTTTTCAGATTGCTTCCAAACATAAGTCAACGCTGGACAGAGCTGTAGGAAAAGCTTCCTCAAAGCTGGCCCCAAAAAGCCATGTGGTGAGACGGGGCCTCTTTGCCAGCCCCCACCCACCCGCCCTCGGCTCTCGTAGCGGGGCCTGGGGCTGGGGCCCTCTGAGGGTTGGCCCGGAGGCCTGTGGTCAGATACCCCCTTCTTCGGCTCACACTCCGCCCCACGGCCCCTTCCCTCGGGCCCGGCTTCCTTTCCCCCTGGTCCACAGGTGTCCCTCTGACCAAGAGGGGAGGCGTGAGGCCTAGAGGCATCTTCGGAGTGCCCGATGACGGTGGTCACACTGGGACCCGGCAGCCCCTGGTTCACATGCAGTTTACGGTGGGGGTGGTGGCACAGCTAGGGAGGCTGCAGGATGGGTAACTGTCCCCTCCACCGACTTTTTCCAGAGGAGAAAATGGAGGTCTGGAGGGAAGGGAGCTGCCTAGAGGTAGTTAGGGAGCTGGAAGGGGGACCAGCCTGAGGCGGGCCTTGTGCCCAGGTGGCACTGGGGCCCCAAGGGCCGGGGTCCATGCTCGCCACCCTGGCTCTGCCCAAGTGTGGTTTCCTCCGGAATTGGGAGGCCTCAGCACTGGCGCCCATGGCAGAAGCCCACAGGCTTGGCAGGTTCCGGGCGGCCCTGGCACCTGCCCCCTCTCCCGGGGACCCAGGAGGCCCTGAGGCCTGCTGCTTGCAAGGCCCGGCCCCTCTCCTTTCCCAGCCATGGACGGAGGACCTGGCAGCCTGGGGTGGGCGGCTTGCCCCGTGGTGGGCCTCACAGGCCCACTGTGTGTGCAGACAGAAACCCCATTCATGGGGGCCACTGGGCCTGGTCCAGTGGAGAATAAACGCGGGCCTTACAGCAAGAGACCAAGAACACTCAAGTCCAAGAAAAACTCAATCTCTCTTTCTCTTCAGGTGGGAAGAGAGGACGTTGGGGGAAGTTGGGGGCACGGGTGGCCCCCCCTTCCCCTGGGGGGGGGCCTTCCTGGGGGAGGGCTGGGTCAGGGAGGCTCGGAGCACTGCCGCCAGGGCCAGGAGCCTAGGGAGCGGGACTGCTCATGTCCCATCCTGCTGTGGCTACGGCTTTCACCTCTCCCAGCTATTCACGCCCTCTCTGGGCCCAGGAGGCCTGCGCGGCCCAAGCGAAGTGGCCATGAAGAGTATGATGTTCCGGTCCCGGCTTTTTGGGTGGGGTGCTGCCCTGGAGGGGTCCCGGCCAGGCAGGCACCGCCGACTCCCATGGGCATGCCGACCCTACAGCCGCCGCCGCCCAGCCAGCCAGGGCCCCCCAACGGTGAGTAGGTGGCACCAGCAGGAAAACTCTGGCAAGCGGGGAGCAGTCTGCCTCGTTATTAGAATTCCCCCCCCCAACCCTGAGGCTGGCGCAGGAGAGAAAGCCGGTCACCCCAAGGCTGCCCGCGTGGTACTCACCTTGGGGGTTTCAGCAGGAGCTAGGAGGGACCCAGGGGCCTCAGGGAACCCGCTCTGGAGGGCAAGGAGGAGTTACAGACTCTGGGAGGCCTGGTGCCTGTAGCCCAGGGTGAGGGCGGGGGGAGGAAAGACACCTCCCTAGGAGGGGCCCCAGCAGATGGGGCTGGAATAATGGATCCAGCTTTGTTGGTTGGGGAGCCAGCTGCCCCGGGACCTACTGAGGAGACCGGGAGAAGTGTGGGAGGCTGAAAGTGGCAGACCCGGGGCTTGGGTGGGATGCCATAATGGGCCCCAGTAGACCAGCTATGGTGTGACCTTCGTCCCATATGCCAGTGGTTGGCACCGTACTTGGTCGCCCCACCCCAAGGCCTGAGGGCGGGATGAGAGAAGCAGTGGGTGGGCCCAGGCCCCCACCCCCCGCAGATAGCAGGATCTGCAAGGGAGGCCCATGGTCAATGTCACCATGCGTTAGAGAGGAAGGAGGCAGGCAGGGTGACCCGCTGGCCACCGGCCTGCTTGTGACATTGAGCAGCACTGTTTCTCTCTCTCTCTCTCTCTCTCTCTCTCTCTCTCTATATATATATATATATATATATTTTTTTTTTTTTTTTTTCTCTCGTGCTTGGGGTCCCCCACTCTGGGGCTATGAAAAGGCGTGCGGGAGACCAAGGAGTCTCTGATACTTGGTAGCCTGGGAGCGGCGGGGGTGGGGGGTCTGTGACAGAAGGCTGCAAAGTCCCGAGGGCAGGAGAGAGAGGCAGAAGTGAGGCCTAGGCAGAGAGAGGAGGGAGGTGGGCCAGCCTGTGACTGGTCTCCCCACTTAGGAAGGAGGTGTGGCCTCAGCCACACAGGGGTCCCAACCAACTGAGCCCACACTGGCTCCTTCTGCAGATCAGGTGCGACCCACCTTCGGGAACCGCAGCCTGGACCAGCCACAGGTGCAACCCACTTCCAAGGAAGGAGCCCACAGAGCCCCCGCCCAGCACCCAGCACCCAGCTCGAAGGCCCCCGCAGGCCAAAGCTGGCTCAGAGGGAGGAGTCACCCCGAGCAGCCTGGGAGCAGGAGTGGTGTCACAACAAGGGGCCTAGCAGCAAGCGGGCCCAGCCACAGACCATAGCCAAAATGGGGGCTGAAGCAAGGCCCCAGGCCACCAAGCTCGGGCCCTTTCAGGCCAGCAGGGCCTCCCGAGCCCAAGAAGGGACAGTGGCCACCAAGGAGGGCCAGGGCAGGAAGGCAGGAGGCCAGGCACCCAGGCGATAGGGCCCAAAGCCCAGAAGGCCCCCCAAAGGTGAGAACCCGCCAGGACAGGTAGCCCCCAGATGAAGCCTGCAGGGGGTGATGGGGCTGTGCCTGCCTGAATCTCAAGTGGCTGAGGCTTGGTCACACGTCTCCCAATCATACCAGTGTCACCAGCCCCTCGGGCCCCCACCCTGCTGTCAGTGTGCCCAAGCTGAGTGGCCCCGCGTACAGGGCCCCCGGGCGAGCTCCTGTCCCTCAGCAGGCCCCTGTTGCTACATGACCAGGCTGGGGCTGTGTCTGTTGTCCTCTAGGGGCCTTCCACCAACCTGGCTCAGGGGGCCGGCACCGAAAGAAGGATCATGGCCAAGGCCAAGGTGGCCGCAGCACCAAGAAGACCACAGGCCACGGGCAAAAAAGGCCTAGAGGCAGGCACAGGCACGGGTTCACGGACCTGGGCACCTCACAGCAGGCCATGCCATCCCTGCCAGCCTCCTGCCTCCTGACCCAGGAGGCCATCACCCGCAGCAATGTCAAGATGAAACACGTCCCTGCCCTGACTGACCCTGGCCTAGCCATGCTCCACCTGGCAGGTCGGTGACCCCTTTCCTCCACACTCACCCTTATGGCAGGAGTAAGAAGGCCACACACTTGGGGTTCTCCTCTAGTGGGTCCTCGGCCACTGTGGCTGCAGCATTGCGGTGCCTGGAAATGGCCCACCTACCTGTGCGTCCTGGTTAGCAGTGAGAAGATGCCCTGATGCCCAAGAACCAGCTCCTCCGGTCCATGTTGGGGAGGTACCGAGTGGCAGAGGGGAGGGGGACAAGGGAGCGCGGAGTCCAGCTGCCCTGTGTCTGCACAGAGCATGAAATGGCCAAGATCCCATCCCGCACGTTCCCCGGGCTGCCAAATCTGCGGCGGCTGGACCTGAATCAGAACAAGCTGGATGCCCGAGGCCTGCACCCCTGTGCCTTCAAGGTGTGCAGCACCCTTCCGCTTGTGCTCCCGGGAGGAGGAGGGCCGGCAGGTCTGAGATGGCTCCAGGCGGCCACCATGCCCCTCCCCACCCTGCCTGGGGTGATCAGGCCCGGAGGAGGCGCTGCGCAGACCACCCAGCATGGTGGGCTTCAGTGATTTGGGACAACACGGTCCACAGCTGGGTGTGGAGAGCAGCGTGGATCCTCGGGCCCCCACAAGGGATCCTTGAGTCCCCACAAGAAGTTCTGGGAGAAACCGAGCAGCGATTCTCAAAACCCGCAGACAGACCTGCTCCAAGCCGCAGTGCAACCAGATAGGTGTCCCTCGGGCAGAATCAGCCCAAAGCCATGCCCAGAAGGCCTAGCCTGCCTAGTGGCACCGCGGTCCCCAGCCCCCTCTTCCCCCTGCCCCCCAGAATCTGACACGGCTGAAGCTGGATGGGAACTCGCTGTGCACAGTGCCAGTCCTGCAGCAGCTTTCAGGGTGTGGGGGTGGGCCCTGGGGGCAGGGGTTGACAAAGCCAGGCCTGGGAAGGGGGGCGGGGGGCGGTGGGGGGCTGTTGGTGAGGCAGAGGAGAAGTGCGGGCGAGGGGAGGGCCGCCCGGGGCAGCCTGGCTGGAGGGCAGAGAAGGCAGGACTGGCTGGGACAGTGGCCCTGGCCTCTAGGAGCTACACAGGGAGTTCCCAGGGGGCCCCCAGACCCCTGCAGTCAGGTCACGTGCCCGTCCGCCCATGGCAACATCTCATCCCTGGCCTTTCAGCCCCTACACAGCCTGCTCTACCCGGGGCTGGACCGAAACTGTCTGCGGACCATCCTACCTGGCCTGCCAGCCTCCCTGCAGGTGAGCCAGCGGGTACAGCTGCCCATGAGGATAGTTTTAAAGATAAACCCACAGAGCCTCGGTGCCGGAGGGCCTCTCCTCTGACTGACCTAACCTTCCTGAGGCCCACAGTTGGGCCTTGAGGACCGTCTTCGACCTTCTGGGTGTCCCTGAACAAGGCGCAGGCCCGCCCTGGGCCACCCGGCCCCCCTGTGCTGGATGGTGCTCTTTGAGGCCGTGAGGAGCCCTGGCACAGCTGGAAGGTGTTGCTGGGATCCTCTGCAAGATGGCCATGGCCCCAAGAGGGACAGACATGGCGACACCTGCAAGGGGATAGGGAGCCAGGCCAGGCAGGTGGGCCCCTCACCCTCACCCTCAGCCCCGGCCCTAGGAGCTGTACCCGGGCACCAGTGTCGTCAAGGAGGTGACAGAGGGCATGCTGAACCACAGCCTCGGCGTACTGGTGCTCCGGGAGGACCTCCTGGCACCCCGTGCTCGGATTGACCTTCCGAGAGTGCTGCCGCCCCACCTGGCACCGTGTGAGCTTTACCCCAACGGGCACGTGGATGCCCGAGAGGGGGGATTCACTCAGAAGGACCCAGAGAGTCACAAGGAGGGGTGGCTCCATTGCTTTCGGGCCTGGTCTCAGGTGGGTCAGCTGGGTCATCTGCCTCCCTGCTCAGGGCTCAAGGTGACCTGGGCCCTGAGCCACCCACCTGCGACTCCAAGAGTTTCCTCTGTCCCTCCCACCCAGCAAGATCCCCAAAGCCACAGAAACCCCTTCCTCTGCTGGGAATTGCCCTGTAGGCCCCCAGCCAGCTCCCCTGGGAGGTGGCGTGGGCAGGGACAGAGGGGCAGCAGGGGCAGCGGGAACTGGCCAGGTGCTGAGTGAGATCAGCTAGGAGGTGACAGGGCAGGAAGGTGCATGGAAGAGGTGGTGGGCACGGGAAAGAACAGCGTGTGGGTGTCCTGGGGCGTACCAGACAAATGCCACATACAGGGTAGCTTAAGATAACAGAGATTTCTACTCCCACAGCTCTGGAGGCCGGAAGTCTAAAATCGAGGCGTTGACAGGGTCACACTCCCTCCACAGGCTCTAGGGCACAATCCTTCCTCGCCTCTTCCAGCTTGGTGGCCCCGCGTGTTCCTTGGCGTATGACCACACCACTCTAGTGTTGGCCTCCGTTGTCACATGGCCTTTTCTTCTGTGTGTCTCTGTGTCTGTCCTCTTTTGTCTCTTATAAGGACACTTGTCATTGAATTTAGGGCCCTCCCTAATCCAGGATGAGCTCGTCTTGAGATCCTTCACTTACATAGGCAAAGACCCTTTTGCCAAATAAGGTCATGTTGACAGGTTCGGGGCAGACGTATATTTGGGGGCTACTATTCACCCCACTACGGGAAGGGTCCAGAATGAGTCCTTATGATCTGGTTTGGACAACTGGGTGGAGGTGCCAGCAGAAGGGATCCCGGAGGAGACTCGGCTCTTACAGGCACTGCCTAAGGAGTAAGGACGTGGTCCTGGGAGCAAGCAGCAGGAGGGCTGGGAAGTACAATCCGTGGGGTCTGGTGACCGCCATGGCAGGGCAGGGGGTGGTAGGCAGGGGTCAACAGACACTCCAACCGTACATTCCAGGGACCAGAGCCTCCCGCCCTGTACCCTCATGTTCCAGGAAAATGTTACCAGGACGTTTGGGTTTAATTATTCTTTTTTCCTCCCCCCCCCCTTGCCAAGGGGGCAAAGGAAAGCAGACAGCAGCCTAGGGAGGGGCCTCCCAGCCACTGTTCCACTCCCACCACGGGGCCTGGGCAGGGGGCCGGCGGCCGGTCAAGGCCTGCTGGCGCCGCCCCGCTTTCCTCTGGCTGGTGGAAGAGGAGGGGGCCCCTCCGCTGGCAAGGCGGAAGCCCTGGAGCCCCAGCCCCCGTGGGCTGAGGGGCGGCCTTGGCCCCAAGGCCAAAGGGCTGGCCCGCCCACAGGAGCTGGGGATGTCACAGCCCGCGTGGAGTGACCTGGGCTGACGTCCACCCAAGCTGCACCGCCTGCTTCCCTGATCCCTCAGGGTCCCCAGCCGCGGCCCCTGGGAGCCTTAGTTTTCTCTCCGTCCCCATCCGTCTTCTGCTGATCAGGCTGAGTGAGACAGGAAGAGGACAAGAGAGTGTGTAAGGACGAGAGGAAAGGGCTCTGGAGCTGAGCGGGGCAGAGTGGAGACAGACTGAAGTGGGCCAGCACCTGTATCTGCACTGCTTCGTCCCCTGGACGTTTTAGGAGCCCCCGAGGCGGGGGAAGGAGTGGGAGAACGCTGGCCTCACTAGCCCTGTGGTGAACTGGGAAGGGCCCCACCCAGATCCCCTTTTCCCAGCCTCTTCAGACAGAGGAGGACGCAGAAGCCAGACAGGGCCTGGCCTGACTCACGGTCAGGCTGCAGCTGGCCTCCCGGCCCTTCCCAACAGTTGGGAGCTCTGGTGGCCTCTGCCACCTGGGAGCCAATGCCCACTCTCTTCTTGGGTGTGGACCAGGCACCTTGATTTGCAGCTTCGGCTGTGGCTGCGGTTCCTCCTGGGCACCACCGGCTCACCCCACACCTGAACACCCATCCTGCAGGAAGCTGGAGACCCTCGACCTGTCCCACGACCCGCTGGTGCACGTGCCTTCCTTCCGCCACGGGGCCTTCGGCGCCTGCCACCGCACCACAACCGCACGAGCGCATCCCCGGCTACGCGTTTGCGCACACGAAGCCGGGCCTGGAGCTCCTGTCCCTGTCCCACGAAAGCCTGTGCACCGACGGCGTCCATGGCGTGTGCTTCCTCGGCCTTCGCGCCTCCCTGACCGGGCCGCTGCTGGGTCGCAACCAGCTGCGGGCCGTCCCCCGGGGCCTCGGGGGCCTCAGGGGGCTGCGGGGGCTGCGTCGGAGCCACAAGAAGATCAGGTGGGGCTGTACGCCTGGCCCAACACGCTGTCCCACCACGCCCCACTGCCAGCCAGGGGAGAGAAGGGCAGCTGAGGCCAGGGGCGGGGAGGGGGGGCCCTGCCTGGCAGGTGGGCCCATGGGAGGAGCCCATCACTGCTCCTATCCATATCCACCTTGGTTGTCACGACGGGAGGCCGTGCCCGGTGGTTGGCAGGCCCCGGGCAGCCACGGTGGAGGGCTGCAAGCGGCAGAAATCTGGGCAGGGGTGGCCAAGGGGGAGGTGAGAGGGCCCTGAGCCTCCAGTGGGGAGGTGGCAAGTGGTGGCCGTGACCTGCGTGACCAGCTTCCCTGGGTCTGTTTCTCTCCTCTTGTATGACACCTGCCTCTGCTTTCTGGGGTCTTCACTCCTCCGCTTGACCCTGCCACCCCACTCTATAGACAAGTGCCCCTGAATTCCATCTGTGTGACACTCCAGTGGCTCAGGACTCCAACCTCATCCCCACGCACCTGGAAAACAGCCTTATTGACCGGCGCCGCATCCTGCCCACCGCCTTCTCCTGCATCTGAACCTGCTTCGGCAGTGTGGTCCTCCGGCCCCAGCAGGGGGCGGGGGCTGGGGAGGGATCCTGGGATTCCTGCCCCCCCCACCACTCCTTAGGACTGGTTGGGGGGGGGGGGCCCAGGTCTACCTCCACTTGATCTTTGCACTACTAACAGAAAGATCTAGAAGACCCAGCTGTTTCAGATGCTCCCACTTCCCATTGACTGCTGAGGCCCCTTCACTTAGTAAATGGCCCAGCAGGGTACCGCGCTGGTCTGGACTGGAACATAATAAATGCATCTCATTCAAGCCCAGAAGCCTCCATCAGCCTCCCTCTCTCCCTCCTGGATTTAAGCTACACTTGCGTGCTGGCTGTCTATTGTGCAGGCAGTTAAGAGGGCCTGCTTCTAGAAGCTTCTCCAAGAGCCTCCCCAGCCCCACCCACCCCGGCCAGGGTACTGAAGTCCCCAGTAGCTCAGCCCCAAGCCATCTGGGGGCCAGGCTCACCTCAGTTGCTCAGGACAGTATCAGTACCTCTCTTCAGGAAGCATCCCCGTCCCAGGTGTGGACCGACAGAGATGGGCTCTGCTGGCAAAGCAGGCTGATGTGGAGGCCCCTGGTGCCTGCCCTTCATCCTAAAACCACTCACACTCATACCTGTACCAAGGCCGGGGACACCCCTCGTCCCTCCTCCCCCTAACCCAGGCCCCAGGGCCCTCACCCTGGTCCCCCACCCATCCCCGGTGCATACACATCCCCATGCCAGCCTGAGGGTCACCATGGCCCCACCCAAAGCCCTTAGAGGCAGGGGCAGGCATCAAAAGACGTGGGACCCAAATGTACCTTTATGAGACCTGGTACGAGGGAAGGGTAGGGAGTGCTTGGTGTGTGGGAGGCCAGACCTGGCCGGAGATGCTGACCGTCTGGCGGACGAGGCAAATGCACACACCAGCAAGCTGTGAGGGCTCAACCCTGCCGAGCGCCGAGGACAAGACAGGACCGCCATGCTGGGTGGGGACACGGGCTTTGCAGAGCCCCCTGAAGCCACTGGGGCAGTCCCTCTGCTTGTGCAGAGGGGACCACTGGGAGCAGGGTAGGGTCACCAGGTCAGCCTTGACAGCTCACAGTGCCACCATACCTGGTGGTGGGGCGGGTGAGGGGTTGGGGGGGGGGGGGCGGAGCACAACCAGCCAAGAGCACAGCTGACCCAGCCCCTGCCCCAAGGGAGTAAGAAGTTCATGGTGGTGTGAGGGCCAGAGAGAGAGCCAAGTGACAGGCATCAAGGATGTGGCAGGAGCAGGACGGGCCCCAGATTTCAGTGCTGCTGCTGGATGTGGGTGGAGTGAAGGAAAAAGGGCACCAAGTCCCCCAGTGCAGACGCCTTGCCCTGCCACCACCTCTGGCTGGGGTCTAGGACTATGAACTGCAAGTCTTATGTGGGTCCCATTCCTGCAGCCAGTCCCCCACCCCCAACCCTCATCCCTACCCCCACCCTGGAATTCTCAGCAGAGAAAGGGCCAGACTCAGGCAGGGGGCGGGGAGAGGCCTGGGAAGCTTGGGGAGTGTTTGCTTTGGACTCATCTTTACATTCCTTCTCCTCCGGGCCCAGGCCCGCAGATATGGCACTTCCTGTTTGGGCTGGGTCAGAGGTCAGCAGCCCTAGAGGCGCTGGCCCGATGGGAGGGAGGGCCTGCCTCTTTCCCAGCTCTCATGAACCCTCCTCCCCAGCCAGCCGCCTGGCCTGGGCCCTGCACTCCTGCTCCGGTCAACCCCCGGTCCCCTCCTCCCCCATAGTCATAGAGGTCAGGCCCTAGGGAGGCACAGGAAGTTCAAGTTGGGTGACCCCCCCCCCATCCCCCGTGGGCCTCCCCTTCCTGCTGCTCTTACCTCTACTGAGCAGATGAGGCCAGAGGGCCTGGGAGAAGGGCCACACCCCAAGGCCCACCTGCTTGTCAGGGCAACCTGGCCTTGAGGGACAGAGAAGGGCAAGGGACACAGGAGGCAGGCAGCCCAAGTAGTTACTGGGGTAAATTCCACTTCAGACCGGCAGCTACTTGGCCCTTGGGGCTGTTGTCAGGTGGGCTGAACCCAGGCCTGGAAACCTGTCCTTGATCTTCCTGAGCAGAGCTGGGCCCAAGACAGCACAGACGCAGCCAGACCCCTAGTGGATGTCTCCCATTGGGCTCCCCAGAAACACACTAGGACTAGGAAGCAAGGGTTAGCGCACAGGGAGTTTACTGGGATGTCTTGGGGCCACCACCTGGGGGAGGGGAGGACAAGAACAGGAGTGGCCCAGGGAGAAGGTGGCCCGTGACTGGTGACCGTCCAGGCAATCCCCACGGGGGCTCTGGAGCTGAGCCAGTCCTGAGTCGGGGCAAGGGGACCGGGAGTCTATATAACCCATCATCCTTGCGTGGGGCTGCCCAGCGGAGAGTAACATTCTCTCCTGAAGGCACGGGGTGCCGGCAGCTGGAGGCCAGGACCTTCAGTCCGACAGGGGAGATGGCCCAGGCAGCACGGCATGCCCACAGTGGGACATCCCCGGACAGAGCCCCAGCCGAGTGTAGCCGAGACCTGCCGGTGCGACCAGGCCCGCCCGTTGCCCTGCGCCCACGCCTTCCTCACCGGCATCTCTGACCCCATATCCTCTACTCACGCATGCCAGCGTGGCAGCGATTACTGTGCTCCTGTTTAGGGCAGAGCTGGCTCCACTGGGGCATACGGTGGTGGGCACGGCCCGGAGCGCTGGGCGTCTGAGGGGTGACTGCAGGCAGGTGGCAAGAAGGGCGGCACTCGTCCACCCTCAGATTGAGACAGGGGTATTGAGGTGGTGGGGGTGACACTGAGGGGAAGGACGGTGGGGACAGTGCAGACCCAGAAGGGGACACCTGGGCCAACAAGTGCAAGCAGTGGAAAATACGGACAGGGAGCAGATGTGTACCCCTTGGGGCCAACCCCCCGTCTCCTTCCCCGGGACCTCAGTGGAATGTTGTCCCACTGCCCACCCCTCCCAGCTACAGGCCCAGAGTCCTGCCCATCGGCTTCCAAATTCTCCGACCTGCCTGCTCCTTTCTGTCCCCGGCGCCCCTAACCGAGGGCCCGCCTCCCGCCCCTTGCCAGGCTCCCTGCTTAGCTTTGGGCACATTTGCTTCCAAGCCTTCCTCCTGCCTCGTACCGTGGTGGCAAGCTTGGTTCACGTCCGGGAGAAACAGGCCCCGGAAGGAGCAAAGGATACGCCCGGCATGGTGTGCCCATGCCTGGGCTCCCCTCCCATCCTTGCCCGTGTAGCAACTGCCACCAGGGCAGCCACGCAGGGCCCATCCAAGAGATGCTGGCCACCCGGCCCCTTCCCCTGTGCCTGCCCTCACCCACTGCCCCAGATGAAGCCTCCTGGCCCCACAGGCAGCAGGAAGACCCAGGGGCGGGTCCTGGGTGCCGGCCTCCCCCCACCTGGGGAAGACCATGGCAGCCTCCCCGTATCTCACCGGCTTCTTGGGCAGCCCACAGATGCCTCCCTGAAGCACAGCCCCCTGTCCACCTTCCCTCATGTAGCCACACCCCAGACCATGCGTCTCTAAAGATAGCTAGACACAGGCCCAGCCCCCATGGAGACCCCTCTGGGCCCTGAAATTATAGCCCTGACGGCCTGGGGCAGAGAGCCACTGTGTGATTATGTCCTCAGGGGCAGGTCAAAAAAAGCTCTGGCATAGAGAATGCCAGCTTTCACTGGCCGCACCTCAGCTATCGGAGCTGGGAAACTTCCAGATAGTGGAGGCTCGGCTCACTCCGCGGCAGCTCAGTTTCCTCTTGGGCCTGTTCAACATGAGCCTCATCCGGAATGGTTCCTAGCCCCCTGCACCAAGAGGGTCCCCCCAAGCATTTAGGCATGGAACCTCAGGGCTTCAGGATGTTACGACTCCAGCCTCCAGGGACCCTCGAGGTGGGAGGGGCTGTCTCCGGGTGACTGTGGGCCTGGTTCTCACCCTGTCCCTGCCCAGCTACTCAGAGTGTGGAGCTTGGGAGTGGATGAAGCCAGCGGGCTGCCAGTGACAGTCACGTGCAGGGCTGTGAACTTGGAGATGCTGGCTTGCCTTCAGGGGCTGCAGCGCCCAGGAGTCCTGAGGGCCGTCTCTGAGATCTCGGCTGAGTTCCGGGCAGGGTCACTTGCTCGAGCAGTGACCTTGATATGCATGATATGCCACTGCCTGGGCGTTTGTCCGGAAGGCAAAGGCGTCAGGGCACTCCCTTGGTGAGACCACTTGCTTTGGGCCGGCTTTGCAAGGGTCCCGTGTGGGCACCCCAGGGAAGGTAGCCCAGGGTGCTGCTGGAGAGCCACCTCCTCCCAAGAAGCCCTCTCTGCAGCCCCATCCAGCGCTAGTACCTAGGCCTGTGCAGTTTCCTTTGTAGCACTCATCACAGTTAGTCACCATCATGCTTCTTCGAGCACATCCTTGCTTCTGGTCCGGCAGCTCATGTGCTCAGGGGGGCGGAGAACAGTGAGGCTGACTGACTCTGTGCCCAGGGGAGGGAAAGAGAGACAGACGGGAGATCTAAGGAAGGAGTGAGGAGGAGGAGGGAAGAACAGATAGGGGAGCGATGCGTAGAGGCAGACAGGGATGAGCAGGGACCCGAGCAAACAGTGCAAGGCAGAGAGGCCAGGAAGGCCCCAGAAGGGGGCTGGCAGAGGGCCCCTGGAGCTCAGGGCCATGCTGTTCTTTCCAGGCCCCAGAGGGTCACGGGGCCAGCAGCCGGGTAGGCTGGAGCTCAGGAGGAGCTCCCTCAGCTGCCATCACCTTGGTAGGGGCCCTTTCAAGCCCTTGGGAGCCCCGCCTGCTGGGCCACCTCCCAGGGCCCCAGACTCTGCCCTCCAAGCAACCCTACCAAAGGCAAGGTTTCGTGCCCCAAAGGGAGCGGCAGCTCGAAGCCTGCCTGCTGTGTGCCCCGCTTCTTTCCTGGGCCTCCCCCCTCTAACTTTGAAGGCAGGGCACAAACAGCTGCAGGCCAGCTGTTAGGGGACGGGCTGCCGCTGACTCCAGGTCCTTCACACACAGCCCTACAGGATGGCAGGGGGCTTGGATTGCCCCACCCCAGGAGCCCCCCACAGCTGCTTACGGGCCCTGCCTTCCCCTCTGCTCCCTTCAGCCTGCACACACTCCCACCTTAGCACCCCTGCCCCTGCCAGTCCTCCTCTCTCCCGACCCGATACCCCTGCCCTGCCACCTTCGAGCACTTTCCCTGCACCCTGGGGCTGCAGGCCGGGTACCGGAGAGCCGGCTGGGGCAGCTAGGTGAGGGCTCGCTGCAGTCTGACCTGG